GGGGGAGTAGTTAATCTTACAGTACAAAAGCAGAGGACCCTAGGACCATCAAGGGAAAAGAGCACAAGCAGAAAGCAGGACCCCATCCAAAGAAGCAGCAACACCAGAGATGGAGGCCAAAATGAGGACATGGAGAGAGGGAGCAGCTGAGGACTCTGGACTCATGGAAAGAGAGGGACTGGGTGCTGGTGGCCAGGAGGCAGGCTTGCAGAATGTGCCCTTTGGTTGTTTAAATTATTATATATTCCTCAGTGTTTCTGTGTTCATCCCCCCATCCCACCCTCCGCAATAAAACAATCTGAGAAAATGGAGCAAATACTGTTGAATGATGATGCACAGAGAAGATTGTACTCATTGCAATGAACGATGGTGTAAAGTTGATGTTCTCCCATGTAAACTATCACTCAGTTCACAATAAAAACTTAAAAAGAAAAAGGACTTTGGAAGCAAAACCAGTTTGGAACAAATGATAAAGAATGTGATACTAACATTTTACATTGTAAGCTATCCTAACTGAATTAATTAGTTGCTCCTCGGAAACCCTATACAGGGTTGTTATGGGTTTGAACTGACTCAACGGCCGACACTTAACAACAACAAACCATTATTAGATGCAGGGTATTTCACCATATATTAAGTGTTGTTTCCTCGTAAATAAGCCCTGTCGACAGAGGCCTATTTATCGACTGTGATAGTTTGTATAAACAAATAAAAAATGAAAAAACTTGAGTTCCACTAACCAAATTGTACACTCATGAGCATGAATATTCTTAGAGGATGGTCTGTTTTCTGACTCATCAAAGGCTCTACTGATGGTACGGCTCACCTACATGCCTCTTCTTATACCTTTTAGTCTCAGCTTATTGGTTTGCATCAGGGGATTTTTCTCTTTGCTTTTTGAATCATCTACTCATTTGATTTTGTTGTTGTATCTTCTTTTATCTCTAAATGTTTTGAATAAGAGGAAAAATTTTTTTGAGGCTACTGTACTGATTTGTCGGTTAATGCGCTGGCCTGCAAGGTCGGTTTGAACCCCAGGGTCAGTGGTTCCAGCTCATCAGTCGCTCCTCAGAAAGCCCTATTATAGGTCACTATGAGTTGGAACCGACTTGACAGCACTTAACAACAGCAACAATAAAAACCAATATTGACAGAAAATGGCAAACATTATTTCTTATTTAAAATTGTGTTTGTTTTTTTTAAAATACCTTTTATTCTGCCAAGTTAGATGGGTGTTTACAATAAAATAAAAAAGGAACAATGAAATTATAAATCTGTTAAATCAAGAGGAAAAAAGACAAGAGTTAAGTAACATAATATGGATGTAATGCTGGGAGCATATTTAGGAGAGCAAATGAAAAAAGGAGCTCTGGTAGCATAGTGTTTATGAGTTGGGTTGCTAATATCAAGGTCTGCAGTTCGAAACTGCCAGCCATTCCTTGGGAGAAGGATGAAGTTTTCTGTTCCTGTAAAGATTTAGAGCTTTGGAAACCCTATACAGGGTCGCTATGAGTTAGAACTGACTCCACAGCACATAACCACCACCACTGCCAATGAAATTGAGCCACCACTCATCTGTCAGTTTGATGTACTGTGGTGGCTTACCTGTTGCTGTGATGCTGGAAGCTATGCCACTGGTATTTTAAATGCCAACAGGGTACAATCTGGAGTCCTGGTGTGGTGCTGTAGGATAAGCACGGGACCTCAAGGTCAATTTGATCTGTGAGGTTGGCATTTCAAACACCCAATCTTGCAGCTAGTACCCATTTGACCTAGCCTCAATGGCTTGATAATTAGAACTCAACTAGAGGGCAATAAAAAACAATTTTTGATAAAAGAAACGAGTGTAAATTGCTATAATGTTATGAACTTGACCTATACTTATGGATGTATTGTTGTTGTTGTGAAGTGCCATCGAGTCAATTCTGACCTACAACGACCCTGTGTAGGGTTTTCAAGGAGCATCTGGTGAGCTTGAACCACTGACCTTGCAGTTCAAATGACTTTGCAGTCTGACACATTAGCCCACAGCACCACACCAGGACTCACTTATGGATGTAGTAGCTCAAAATACCAACAGAGAGGGAAGGAGACTTCATATCAAGTATCAATCCTATCCCCTCTGTATACAGGGTTGACAGCAACTTAGGCATTGGTTACCTAAAATGAGGGGGCTATAAAGGTATGGTGTGACTGGCTTGCAAGATTTCAAGAGGGAGTTTAGTTTCAGAGTGTGTGTGGGATAAATAGTTTTTATCTTGTCTAGATGGGTCTGGTGAAAAGAGATGGGGCTAAGATTCTTATGATTTGATAGTGAGTAATTGTTATCAAGACTAATTGCGACTGTCACAACTGTAAAGGTAGAAGTTTTGTAACAAAAATGGGGGAGTAGTTAATTTTACAATCCAAAAACAGAGGACCCTAGGACCATTAAGGGAGAAGAGCACAAGTGGAATGCAGAACCCTATCCAGAGAAGAAGCGACACCAGAGATGGAGACAGAGATGAGGACATGGAGAGAGAGAGCAGCTGAGGACTCCAGACTCATGGAAAGAGAGGGACTGAGTGCTGGTGGACAAGAGGCAGGCTTGCAGAATGTGCAGGTTGTTTAAATTATTATACAGTCCTGTGTGTTTCTGTGTACATCTCTGCATAGTCCCCTACCTCCACCCCCCAAAAAAGCAAGAAAAACAGAGGGAATGGAAGCAAATACTGTGGAATGATGATGCACTGAGGCTATTGTAATCATTGCAATGAAATGATGGTGTAAAGCCAATGTTCTCCCATGTAAACAATCACTCAGTTCAGAATTACAAAAAAACAAAACAAAAACTAATAGGAAGGAGAGGCAGACTGCTCTAAATATTTAGCCACTGAAAATCTGATGAATAGCAATGGAATGCTATCAGATAGCACCAGAACATTGAATTTTGGAACATGATGAATAGCAACAGAATATTGTCAGATATAGTGTGGAAAAGTGAGCCGTCAGGTTGGAATATGACTGAGAAAGAGCTGCCTCCACAAAGCAGAGTTGACTGTGATAATGCGAATGGAGTAAAACTTTCTGGTCTTTCGTTTGTTGATGAGGCACAACTCAAAATGAGAAAAAACAGCTGCAAACATCCATTGGTAATCAGAACACGGAATGTATGCAGTGTGAATCCAGGAAAACTGGAAATTGTCAAAAATGAAATGAACGCATAAAGATTGATATCCTAGCCATTAGTGAGCTGAAATAGACTGGTATTGGCCATTTTGAATCTGACTGTAATATGGTTAGGAGTCCTGGTGTGACACTGTGGGCTAATGCTCTGGACTGAAAGGTCCGTTTGAACTGCAAGGTTGGCAGTTCAAGCTCACCAGCCACTCCATGGAAACCCTATATAGGGTATGAATCAGAGCCAACTTGACGGTACTTAACAACAACAACAACAACAACACTCATATGGTTTAACGTGCTAAGAATGACAAATTGAAGAGGGATGGCATTGCATTCACCATCAAAAAGAGCATATCATGATCTATCTTAAAATATAACGCTGTCTGTGATAGGATAATATCATACACCTAGAAGGAAGACTAGTTAATGCCACTCTTACTAAAATTTGCACACCAATCACTAAAGACTGTGATGAAGAATTCTACCAACTTCTTCAGCCTGAAATTGATCAAACATGCAACCAAGATATATTAATAATTGCTGGTGAATGGAATGCAAATATTGAAACAAAGAAGGATCAGTAGTTGGAAAATATGTGATAGAAGCAATGCTGGAGATCACATGATAGAATTTTATAAGACTTCTTCATTGCAAATACTTTAAAAAAACTCCAAAAACATAAAAGATGATTATACACATTGATCTCACCAGATGGAATACACAGAAAACAAAGCAACTGCATCTGTGGGAAGAGACAGTGGAAAAGCTCCATATCATCAATCAAAACAAGGCCAGGGGCAGACTGTAGAACAGACTGTCATTTGCTCATATCCAAGTTCAAGCTGAAGCTGAAGCAAATTAAAACAAGTCCACGGGAATCAAAATATGATCTTGAACATATCCCACCTGAATTTAGAGATCATCTCAAGAGCAGATTTGATACATTAAACACTAAAGATGGAAGACCAGAAGAGTTGAGGGATGACAACACAACCGTCATAGAGGGAAAAAGCAAAAGGTCATTAAGAAGAAGTGTTCACCAGACACCGCCTCTGGTGATGAGAAGGCCGTAGAGGCACGAGCGGAGCCCGTTGTCCCTGTCTCTGAGATGGTACCCAGCTGCAGTGAGCTCGCTGCCAGGGCGGTTCGGGCGGCGGTACTGGCATCCCTGCCAAGACTGCGTGGGTGCGTTGAGGGACATGGCTGAGGTTTGGCATGGAAGGGGCCCTGAAAAGATACCTGAGCAGTGTGTTTCAATGCAAGGACTATCACAGTTTAGTCCTGAAGATACCCCTGTGAGTGAGGTGTGTGTCCCATCTTGAAAGACAGCTTACTCAGTATCAAGCAGCCTAATTTGGAAAGAAACCATCCTTGAGTGTGGAGTCTGTATGAGAGACTTCTGGTTCTGTGTAAACTTACCCCAGCAAAAAAAAAAAATAAATAAATAAAAAAGGACAATGGTGAGAAACTCGATCAGGTGCCATGGACAGGGCCTTATTTGTGAAGAGCTGCATATTCCATGTGTCAGGAACAGGTGCCAGATGGACTTTCTGTCTACTTCAGGGTTGCTCCCTCACCATGCTGTGCACAGCAGTCAGAAGCAACACAGTAGCATTGGGTGTGGGGAGGCCTTTCACAATGGAAGCAGTCAGTACCAGTGGGGTGATTGTGGGAGCACCTTCCACCACGAGCACACACTTATCCAGCCCCAGAGCCTCTGTGCTGGGAAAGGAATTTATAACTTGTAACAAGTACAGGCACGCCACTGTCAGCTGCAAGGTAAGAGGCAATGAACTGTCTCTCAAGAAAGGCCTTATGAGTGTGGTATATGTGGGCAGTTCTTCGGCCAGATCTCCATCCTTGTCAAACACCAAATAACTCACAGCACAGAAAGACCCTATGAGTGCAGCGAATGTGGGAAGACCTTTAAACGTACTGCTGAACTCATCAGACACTGGAAAATTCACACAAGAGAAAAGCCTTATGAGTGCAGCAAATGTGGAAAATCCTACACACGAAGTTTCAACCTTGTTGAACTCTACAGGAGCCACACCGGAGAAATCAGTTATGCATGTTACACATGCCGCATATGTGGAAAATCCTTTAAACAAAGCTCCAAGCTCACTCTTCACAAGAGGGTTCACACAAGAGAAAGGCCATATGAGTGTGATCAGTGCGGCAAATGCTTTAACCAAATCTCCAGTCTTATGCAACACCAGAGCATTCACACTGAAGAAAGGCCTTATGATTGTGCTGAGTGTGGGAGATCCTTCAGCCGGAGGTTCAACTTCATTGAACACCAAAAGTTTCACACAGGAGGAAGGCCTTACCAGTGTGGTGAATGTGGGAAGTTCTTTAGCCGAAGCTCCATCCTTAGTGTACATCAGAGGGTTCATACAGAAGAGAGCCTTGTGAGTATGGGGAGTGTGGGAAAGTCTACAGATGAGTCTCCAGCCTCATTGAACACCAGAGGGTTCACACAGGAGAGAGGCCTTTTGAGCGCAGTGATTGTGGGAATTCCTTCATCCAAAACTCCACCCTCACTAGGCACCAACGAGTTCACACTGGAGAGTTCAGTGGAGAGTTTGCTGGAGATTTCAACGAAGATTTCAATGATGAGTTATCCAGAGAGTTCGCCTTGGAAAATGCACTATGAATGCTGTCAAAACAGCATACATACTCTTTAACCAGTTCTCCAATGTCATCACAAAAAACTTCACACCAGAAAGAGAGGCCTTAAGAATGTAGCAAATGTGGGAAAACCTTCAGCTCTAGAAAATGCACCCAGGAGAAAGACCTCAGGTCTGCAGGGAATGTGCTGTCTCATTCATTGCCCACATGATGGACTTTAGACAGCTTGAAGTTGACCCTCCTATGCCTGAATCCTACAGTGGGAAATTCTCCCATGAGATTTAGGTGCACAAAGTTCTAATCTGTCTAGGTCCTTGCCAGAAATGTCACTGCCAGTTTATGTGGCAGGAGCCATCAAAACTACCACCTAGCAGGTCACCCCACTGTCCTCAGGAATGGTAGAAGTCTGTGTTATCTTGCCTTCCTTGGAGGAATCTGAACCTTTAAGGCATGGGACTTAATCTGGTTTTGGACAAGAGGGCTCAGTTTGTGGTCTGCCAGCAGCTGCCTTGAAAGGTTCGCCTTCTTCATGCCATGTTGGTCTCCTGGGATGCTTCTGATTTATTTTTCCATATAAGTTACCAAGCAAGCAATATTTCCCATCCATTGCTATGGATTGTGCACTGATAAAGGTCTTACTGTTTCAGCCACCTTTGATGTTGGGGGCTCATGTTAACTATAGTGTAGCTTGAAAACAGACTAGGGTTCTGTTAGTAGGAATACACGAGCAACTTTTCTCTGTGCCCACATATTTGTGTTCCCCATAACAAGACAGTGTGATGGCAGAGAGTAGTTCTCCTTCCAGTTGAGACCTCAGGTGTGTGGCTGCCCAGGCCTCCTAGGAAAAGACTGTGGAGAATTATAGCCCTAGTTTGTCCTGGATACCAGGATTTATTGCACCCCCAGAGGATGCTTTGAAAAGGGGGCCACTGTTGTAATAGCTGATAGTGCTTCCAGGGACAGCAAGACTATGTCTCCTCGTTCCTAGGGGACATCACATAATATGCCCTTGTCATGTGACAAATCTCCACATTCCACCAAGGAGCAAGATGCCCCTGGTATCCAAAATTCAGCCAACTAGCATCACAGATGCAAATGATAATTGGTGCCAAGATTCTGGGTGTCAGGAATAGGGATTGGGGGTACAAATAAACAAGCATGACTGTGCCTCTTCTACATGTGTATCAACATAGTTCCAGAGACGATGGTGGCTGTGCAGCATTAGTGTTAACTGAAGTTCTGGGGAACCACGAAGCCCACATCTTCCCCTGGAGAGCCCAAAATCTAAAAGGTTTCTGGATTCTCACTGTGTCTCTGACCCATTGACCTCAAGACTGGGCGCTACTGGAAAATGAGGTCAAAGAAAATGGAAGCCAGCTTGTTAACCAGCATGTGGCATTTGTAACCTGGCCAGTGTGCCTGTTGCCTCAGATGGAAAATGGTCCTCAGTATGTTTCCTGCCCGTAACACAGAGCTGTCTTTCCCCAGGCATGAACAATGATGCTGCATGCAGTTAGGGAACTGCCCAACCTTGTTTTCTGAAGGGAAAACTTTAAAAAAAATTTTTTTACTTCGAACCCTTTTCAAAAGGATTTGAGTTATAACTGATAATTTTGATGTAAATATGAACCTATGAAATATTCATATACATTATAATGAATGCCCCTGTCAGCACCACTTTTTCTCAGGCCTGCTCTGAATCTTGCCTGCTCTCCCCAACCCTCAGGTAACTGCCTGTTTCCTCTTTATTTTCCACAATAGATTAGTTTCTATTTCCTAGAAGTTTATATAACTGAAAACTTAAGATGCTGACTCTTCCTCCACCCCACCCCACCCCCATTTCCTTCATACCGCATAGTTCTTTTGAGATTCAACAATGTTGCTTATGTGACTACTTGGTTCTTTTTATTGCTGAGAAGTAGTTGGTTTTGTGTATATGCACACACAATTTGTTGATCCATTTGTCTGTCAATGGATATTTGAGTTGTTTCTGGTTTTGGCTGTTACAAATAAATCTGTTAAGAGAATTAAAAAAAAAAAAAAAAGATCATTAAGAAGAGAAGAAAGAAGGAAACGAACAAAACATGTTAGAAGAGACTCTGAAACTTGCTTTCCAGCATAGAAATGCTAAAGAAAATGGAAGAAATGAGGAAGTAAAAGAGTGAACAGAAAATTTCAAAAGGTAGCTTGAGAAGCAAAGTCAAGTATTATAATGAAATGTACAAAGATCTGGAGTTAGAAAACCAAAAGGAAGAACACGCTCAGCATTTCTCAAGTTGAAAGAACTGAAGACAAAAATCAAGCCTTGGGTTGCAATATGGGAGGATTCTAGGGGCAACATATTGAATGATGCAGAAAGCATTAGAAAAAGATGGAAGGAATATACAGTTACTGTACCAGAAAGAAATGGACGACCCTTCTGAACTTTGTCTTTGGGTAAATGCTGCCATTTTGATCACAAACAGTTGATTATTCTAAGATGTGTGTACTTTCCTAGTACTATCACCTCCCCCACCCCGCTGTCTGTTACTTGGCTGAAAATTGAGCCTTGGTGATGGGTTTATTTCCAGACCACCAGTCTCTATCTGACCAATAAGCCTGGCCCTTTTTTATGATTTTTAGTTTTGTTCCACATTTTTCTCCCACTCTATCTAGGACCTTCTATAACCTTTGGTTTTTGCTCAAATCTTGAGTAAGCTTCATGTTACTGATACACCTCGGCACAATCAAAATTTGAGTTAAAATACATATATTCAATCAACTTGCTGAATTCTGAGTCTTACCATGTTTGATGCATTCATATGTTGCATTGGGTTAGAATCAGTAACAATGACTTGTGGTGCTGTGGCTATAAAAAAAATAAGCACACATACAAAGAAGAATATTAAAAGTACCATGGACTGCTAGAAGAACAAACACATTTGTGTTGGAAAAAGAACAGCCAGGACTGCGTTGGTCTGCATTTCAGTGAAGTCAGGGAAAGACAGTAATGAACATTTGACTGAGTTTGACCACATTCCATGGACCCTGTTGACCTTAAGATGAGAGAGAGAAGAGGAAGGGATGGTTGGTCCAAAGTTTGGGAAGATTTGGGAACTCCTGAGCTCATGGACATTGACCTAGCCACGGAGAGCTAGAGCTGAGAGTGAAATGTCCAGCTGATATGAAGTGGGAGGAAGTGCAGAAGAAAGCCCAAACTTGCAGATAGTATCAGTTTGACCTAGCTTTGATGGCTCAATGACCAGAGCTCAACTAGAGAAAGATAAAGAAATTTGATAAAGGAAGCAAGTGTGAATTGCTACAATTTTATGAACTTGATATATACTTATGGATGTAGTAGTTCAAAATACCAACTGAGAGGGAAGGAGTCTTCACATCAAGGATCAAGCCTATCCCCTTGGTATACAGGGTTGATAGGGACAGGCAACTTAGACATTGGCTACCTAAAATGTGTGTGTGTGTCGGTAGGTGGGTGCTATTAAAGCACGATGTGGCTGGCTTACAAGTTTTCAAGAGGGAGTTTAGTTTGAGAATATGCGGGGGAAGGTAGAATCCCCACTGAATAGTTTTCATCTTGTCTAGATGGGTGTGGTAAAAGGAAATGGGGATAAGATTCTATGATTCAATAGTGAGTAATTGTTAACATGATAAATTGTGACTGTCACAACTGTAAAGATATAAGTTTTGTAACAAAAAGTGGGGAGTAGTTAATCTTATAGTCCAGGAACAGAGGACCCTAGGACCATCAAGGGAGAAGACCAAGAGTGGAATGTGGGATCCTATCCAGAGAAACAGCAATATCAGAGAAGGAGGTAGAACAGTTGAAGACTCTAGACTCATGGAAAGAGAATGGCTGTGTGCTGGTTGTCAGGAGGCAGGCTTGCAGAATGTGTCCTTTGGTTGTTTAAATAATTATATATTCCTGAGTGTTTTTGTGTGTATCACAAAAGCAACAACACCCTCCCCCCCCCCCAAAAAAAAGCAGGGAATAGAAGCAAATACTGTTGAACGATGATGCACGAAGGAGATTGTAATCATTGCAATGAACGATGAGTGTAAAATCGATGTTCTTCCATGTAAACTATCACTCAATTCATAATAAAACTTAAATAAAAAAGTAATGATGCAGACATAAAATTATAAACTGTGAAAATACAGCCCAGAATAATCAGCTTAAAGAAATGAAAGTGATTCCTGTGGGGGAACAGAATGGTAGGGCAATAGTATTGTCTGGTTTTTGTTTTTCTTTTTTAATAGAAGTTGCAGAACTTAAAAAAAATAAAAATAAAACCCAATCTGTACTAAAAAACAAACAAACCCAAAAATAGTGAGTAATTGTTATCATGACTAATTGCTATTGGCACAACTATAAAGGCAGACATTTTGTAACATAAAGGGAGAGTAGTTTATCTTACATTCCAGGAACAGAGGACCCTAGGATGATCAAGGAAGAAGAGCATGAGCAGAATGTGGGACACTAACTAGAGAAGCAGCAACACCAGAGATGAGGACATGGAGAGATAGAGCCGCTGGAAAGAGAAAGATGAGGACATGGAGAGATAGATTCATGGAAAGAGAAAGGCTGTGTGCTGGCAGCCAGGAGCAGGACTGCAGAATGTACTCTTTCGTTGTTTAAATGATTATATATCCCTGAGTGTTTTTGTATATATCAAAAACAAAGAGGGAATAGAAGCAAATACTGCTAAATGATGATGCATGGAGGGGATTGTAATCATTGCAATGAAACAAAATATGAAAGAATGAGTGCAACACTTATGTTCTGATATTCTCCCATATAAACTATCACTTAATTCAGAGTAAAAGCTTAAAAAAAAAAGTACAGCCATAATGTTCATTAGATGCCGGGACAACAAGACTTCATCCCTCATACTTGGGACTAGTCCATACAGAATGACATTATGTTTCTCACACAGGTTATTGTTCACTTTATAGATCTGTCTGTTGTTTGGCTAAAAGATGATCCCCAGGGGTGGACTCAGTCCCAGTTCTTTTTTTTTTTCAGACCCAGTTTTGAAGGGTGTCTAAGAGCCATAGT